AAGACAGAATGGCAAGACTGCGCGCGCACGCCGTGGGCAAGGACCGCAACAGCCTGTCGCGCAGGTGGCGGAGCCTCATGGCCCAAGGCGATGTCGGACTCAAGCCTACGCGCGCGAGTCGACGAGGCAAGCTCCACGGAACGTGGTGAGCGCACTTGTCGCTCCTTCTATCTATTGTATAATCTTCGGGCGCATGTGCCCATTTTTGTGTGTTTAAGCATGGCTGTGGATATGGCGTTTACATGGAGATATATGGCCCCTCGAGGCTTGGATTGGTACGGCATTGGGTCTGACATCGCGCCAGATGCGCTTGATTTTGGGAGGCTGCTAGAGAACCAGAACGTTGCGCGAACAATGCGACGCGAATTGAATCATCAACTTGATATCACTCATTGGCCCTTGCCTCACTGACCTGTGACTTAAATTCCTTTTCTTTACATCTTAATGTGCAAAGCACGACACGCGGTTTCACCTTGCGATCGACAACCTCAGCAGTTGTCTGTCGCACCTGGATGACCTCTATGAGCCAGCATCGACGCGATGCGACGCAATTGCGACAGGCACTAGATAATCGCCCAGTCAACAACCCTCATGCCCCCCCTCTCTCGGGGTCCCTCGTCGCGGGAATTTTCAGGGTCCCCCCTCAGACCCCGAAACCCAGCGTCCAGGCTGGCACAAGGAGGGGGAAAAACCCAGTGGCCGGTTGTGCGAGGCCTTTGCACAAAACGAAGTGGCTGGGGTTCTGAGACACACAGATTTCGCTTCCGTTTCCGCAAACGGAGGAGGGGGGGGAGGGCGAGGGAAGAAACTCTTTGTTGGATATCTCCCAAACGGCGCACAGGCCCCTCCCAGGCGCCCCAGCGACCCCAGCCACTGCACAGAATTCCAGCACAAGGCCCTTGTCTGCACAAGCAGGCGGCTCGTGGAGTGAGCCGTCCCTCAATTCAAACAGACCAGCATCTGGATTCGGCTGCTTCCCACTGTGCCGCACCTGGCATTCCTTCTGTGCCTGAGACCCGAGACAAACAGGAGAATTCTGCACACCAGAAGGACCGGCGAGAACGTGGCCGCGAACGGCGCTGCCCATGTGCTGTAGGGGAAGAAAGGATGGATGTCCCCTGGAGGGGGGAAGCGCTGGAATGCTCACCGTCCAGTGGGCGGCCCATCCCCTTGGCGCGCTCGGGCCGTGCCTGCGGCGGGGGACGGGTAGAGGGTTCGGAAAGGGCTCACTTTCTCATATGCCGGCAAGCTGGCATGTACGGCTTTCCAGGCTGAGCCTGGCTCCCGTTCTGGCGCGAACTCCGCTCATTGACTTTGGGATTGCAGTGGAAGACACCATCATGGGAATGGGCGCTGAAGCACAGGCACTGGTGCAAAGCTTGTTCCTGTCAAGACGCGGCACTTGGGCATGCCTTGCTGTTACGTATCAATCAACTTGGCGGCAGTGACCTAGCAAGCGAATCGCTGAGGTGGCTAGCCTTTCCGCGTTCACCAATCGGGGACGGCGTTGTCACTGAACTTTCCAATCATTCGATTACTTGTCGTAGGAAACGAGCTCTCCAATGCCGTACTGTATATTGCTTCATGTCTAAGTTCTAAGTCGTCGGCGTTTTGGTTGGGCCCCAGGTGCCCCGTCTGCATGATTTCACCAACGGTAATACTGACCAAACAACCACCTCGAACCTTGAATGAACGGAAACGTCTTGAAAATAATCATATCGTAACAGCCCTTCAGGTCCCAGAATATCAATGCCTAGAAAGTGCATCGTAGGTTTTGCATCTGTGTGTTGCGCCTCGATACTCTCGAGAAACTGTCATTTGGTGTGGGGATCCAGTGTGCCTATCACCATTCTCGTTGCTATTCCAACAACTCGCTCGAGAATTTGTGGCCCATCCGTGGGCCTCCAGAAATAATTTTCTGCCTTGACCTTGATGACGGACCTGGCATCTGATTCTCCCAGGGCCCGTGATCTCAGCCCGTTTAGCGGCCGAGTAGTTTCCATCGTCTGTCTACCTGAATGCATTTGAGAGACTGGTGCTACTAGTTTCAGAACTGAGGATCCCCTTTGTTAGGGGTTGTCACCTCGAAGACCTTTCTAGTTCACTTCTTCTCGTCCTGGTGCTAGTTTAGCAGGCACAGCTGTTGGGACGGGTGCCTCCTCTCGGCTCTAAAGCCTCTGAAGCGAACGCGTGGACACTGTCAATCGTGGGAAGGTCAAGCCATGGATTGCATTAGGTGGCTCGAGGCTTTCGACTTCAGGCAAGGGACCACGTAAGAGTCGAATACTCGAAAGACCTCATTGACAGAGAGTGACATATCCAGAGTGACCACTTCTCATCATGACTGCCAATGCTAAATCCAGTCACCGATCACGGGCAAACTAGGGTCAATTTGGGAAGAATTGTAGTCATAACTCTAGGTTGTATTACGGACATTCATTCTGTCTCGCATTAGTCGGGATCACAGATAGTCTTGAGCCAATATCACTGCGCTTAAGAGAATGGATTTGCGTTTCAGTCTTAGTTCGATAATGTTATGAGCAGTATCTTCATCTCAAACGACCAATAACCAGCATTCATGTATCATTCAGTGTCGCTGTCGTCAAAAAGCAAGGTCTCCAAGTCAACATATCAAAGTCGGAGCAACGAGCTCAGTCATCTTCATCACCGCCGTAATGTTCCTCGTAAGCCTCCTCATAAGCCTCACGTGCCTCCTCAGCAGCCTCATGATCGCTGCTACTGGCGTCCGAGTCGGCGGCGGCGGCCAGAGCCTCTTCATACTCGGCACGGGCATCAGCAACCTCCTCGCGATCACTAGAATCGACAGAGTTTCCGTCGGCATCCGTGGCGCCAAGAACAGGGGGAGGGCCGTCCTCAAAGGCGGGCTCATCAGCCTGAGGGGGCGGTGCGTAGTAGTTCTGCTCGGGAGGCGGGGCGTAGTAGGCTTGCTCCGGAGGGGGCGCGGCGGCCGCAGCAGCCTGCTGCTGTTGAGCCTCGTCATCCGAGTCATCTTCACGCAAGTTAGCAACAGGCTCTCCATCTAACGCAGGGAATTCGACTCACTCATGGCATTAGCAATCAGAGCACCGCCGACGGCGCCAACAGCGAGTCCACCGGCTGCACCTAGGAGCATGCCACTGCTACTCTTCTTTTGCTCGGTGCCGTGACCATTGTAGGGGTCGCTCCCGTAGGCCCGAGCCTGGTCGTGTCCGGGCCTGGGCCGTAACCAAGGCTGGCCGTAACCAGGCTGACATAGGCGAAGGGGGCTCCATAGCCGCCGGTTTGGCCGTAGGGGAGAAAGGATCTCCATAACCTCCAGGGGGCCGGGGAATCGTAGCCCGAGCCGGGGGGTAGACTTGCTTGCCCGTAGTAGCTACCACCGTGACCACCAGGGGCGGGAGAACCGAACGCTCTAGTGCCGGAATGCTCTTCGCCTGGGCGGGGGCCAACCGGAGGTGCTGAAGGCGGAGGCGGAGCAGGGTGCTCCCATTGCGAGCGGCCCGTGTTGTGGTCAACGTAAAACCAACGCTGGTACTGGGCGTTCCACTGGGCAACCCAGCCGGGAGGCACGGAGGGCGCAGCCATGGGAGGTGGGCCGTCGGGAGCCGGAGCGGGGGAGGGCTGGGACTCGGAAGCGGGGTTCGGGGCGTAGCTGCCGTGGCCGTTGCTGTAGCCGGAATCGGTATGTTGGGGCTGTGCAGCCTGAGAGGGGTAGTAGCTGCGAGTATCTGTGAAAGCGGATTGGAGGACCACCGCACGATGCGGCGAACCCCCAGCGGACGTCAGCAAGTCTATTCGAACGACAATACGGCGGTAGAGAGGCAAACGGCGGTCTAACAATCGAAACGAGACAAAAGTACGCTCAGTGTCCTGTGTACGTCCCCGGTGCTCGTGTGGGGATGATGAGCGGCTTCTGCCAAGCAGTAGTTTGCCCCATCGCGAGGGACATCGACCCAACGGACCGAGGCGGATGTTTCTAATGATAGGACAGAAAGACGAGGAAACAGTAAAATCTTAAGAAATATAAACAAGCTCAAGGCAGTAGCAGAAAGGCTAAGGAGCTCATAGGCGGAATGTTGAGAGATGCTTGTCTTGGGGTCAGGCACGTACCACTGGACTGGTGCTGAGGAGCGGGTGACTCTTCGGGCTTCTTCTCGTCCTTCTTGTCATCGGAAAAAGAGGTCTTGAGGTCCTCAAACTCCTTGGTGAGCTTCTTGAAGAAAGACATCTTTGGTACTGGTGTCTAAGATCTTGGCTCTTTGCCTAGGTTGCGAAAGTTGTCGATGAGGGTCAAGTCTTGGTCCGGGTGTGTCGGTGAGAGACTTGGTGGTCTTGGAGGGCTTGGGTGCTTGTACGTATGCTTGAATGCAACCTGGTTGAATGCGGGAAGTCCCGAGGTGACGACTGAAGGCTCACCAGACAGTCGAACGAACGCGGGGTTTGCTGGCCTTACGTAGAGCTCACAGCAGATGTGCTTCGGTTGCGATGGGAGCCGAGAAAGAAATCCTGGGGAAACAGCTTTGGATGCTTGGGAATGCCGAGCTTCAGACCAGACAAAGGGTGAGGGAATTCTGATTTTTGTAGCCGAGCAGCAGGAGAAAACAATGCGAGCAGAATTGGGAGGCAGCCGAGAGATTCGATCGCACAAGAGGCCACAAGGTGGGAGGGTAGGAGGGCAGGAAGGGGCGGGCAATTTGCAGAGGCAGGACCCCTCTTGCTACATTGGGCAGATGACGAGGGGCGGCAGCGAAAACTGGTGTGCGAGGCAGAGATTCAAAATGAGGGGTTCAACCCACGCAGCAAAAGATCCCCGTGTTCGGGTAAGAGTTGCATATTGATGGTAGTCGTGACTGCCCTCCATGACATGCTGCTCATGCCATTTACTCATGCCACGCTGCTGCTGTTACTGCTGCTGCAGCCGCTGGATGTTGCTGTCCGCGCCAAGCCTGGCCCTGTGCTGCAGGTGTGATTCACTGGCACCCATCCAATTCATCCCACCCCAGTACCACTCAGACATCCTTCCCTATCTTGCTTCCTGCCAGTACCTTACTGTATGCACATCATGTGTGCTCTCGAGGCGCATTCGCCATCAGAATCGTACCGGCAGGTAAAGCGAATTTCTTCATGAGCAACGTGGCTTGTCGTCCTCGATTGACTGCCTCTGGCTGCCTCTGGCTGCCTCCCGCTGAAGCCCCCTGCGACCTCCATCCACCGCAGGAATGAGAGTATGGTCCGCCATCAAGTCGCATCCCGGGGCCAAGACTTTGACTAACGACATCTTGCTTTTGAACCGAATGTCCGAGTTACATGCCGAAATTGAAACTCCCCAAGCATTTGCCAGCTCAACCTGACCTGGCACATGAACACTACTGGCGGGCACTAGCAACCGCCCGCCGTCCCATCGCTCCCTCCCGTCTTCCCGCGTGCTTCTCTCAAACACGTTGATCAAGCGACCGCCGAATGCAAAGCGTGAAGCGACCACCAGACGACGAAACAACCAAGGAACCTAGGTAGCCTGTCAGCAACGCCCAGCAAGGCGCGACGGAGCACTGCAATGGGCCCTGGAACTTGGAACCCCCGGCTGGTGGAGCCTTGAGGCTCTGGGCATCGCTTCAGGCGAGCTTTCCATTTGCTACGATACCCCTGCATCGTAGGCTGCCGAGTGTACTGGCGGCAGACAATCTAACGCTTTTGGTAGTGTACACGTACGCCTGCCAAGACGACTGCCGGCAACCCTTTCCACCGGTCCTACCACTGGACCCTGAGAAAAAGACCCCCCAAGGCCGAATAGTAACCACTGACGCGCCATACCGAGTCATCCATGTCGGCCCTGTGACTCGCCAGTGGTGTGAAGAACACCCTTTTCAACATTGATTTTGACCCCCCTTCCCCAGTTATGCCGCGCAACGCGACTCAAACCCGAGAGACACAACGGCGGCCCCCCCGAGCACTGATCGACTTCTGATACGATACGGGTAGGGTGGTTAGGTTTGCTCTCTGGCATTTTTCTGCTTTTCTTCCTCATGGTCCGTTCCAATCCATCTCATCTTTGGACTTTCATCTCTCCTCTCGTTGACATCTCTCTCAAACGCCTTCTACCGCATACGATCCTGAACCGAGACGCTCCCCTGCCCGATACCTTTCCCATCCAGAACATCAAGCATTTCAGCCAGCCATGTCGTACCAGCAGCAGTATGTTTGTGCTTGTTCCCTGACCCCTAGCTTCTTCTCCTGCCTTAGTTGGCGATCCACCAATCCCCGTTCTTTCGCGCATGCGCTTCGATCTCGTTCCCAACAAACGCCCCCTCGAACAGTCATGCCATACTCCTCTGCTCGGATGGAGAGGAAGACTCACCGCTGACGATCTTATCACAGAGGCTACTACGGAGCCCCCCCTCCTCAGGGCGGCTACCCTCCCCCTGAGGCTACCAGCAGGGCTACCCTCTCCCGGCAGCCCGTAAGTTTTCTGATGCATACGATCACGCAGTCATGACACTCGTCTGTCCTGCAGATGTATTACCCCCCTCAGGGCCACGCTCCCCCGCCACCTCCTCCCCAGCAGGAGGAGAAGAGCCACGGCTGCCTCTACACCTGGTAATCCTCCGAACGAAGTTTCAATCCGGATCAAACACTGACTTGCCTCAGTATTGCCACGCTCTGCTGCTGCTGGCTCTGCGGCGAAACGTGCTCTTGCTGTCTAGACTGTCTTGATTGCTGCGACTGCTGTTAAACCCCAGGATTGAAACTACAGCGAACTTTTGACGGCCGATCTGTGTGAGGACAGCTGAGACTGACTAATTCCCTTTTTATTTCAACTTTTTGTGTTGCGGGACACAACGGACGGAGAGCTGCACAATGCGCTGGGGCCAAGAAGGAGCAAAGCAATACTTGGTCGATTGCTGCTCCGATTCTGATATCCTGCTGAACACTTTTCAAACATGGCAACTGAGGCGTTTTTTCGCATCAACATTTAGTCGGATCACTTACAACTACCGACACTCGACGACTCTCTGTCAAATATAGTTTCCTTGCGTATAATTCCACCACTACTACGGTGGGAGACGGAGAATATAGGACGAATCAACCATAATCACGTGCAGTCAAGGTTTTGTTGTGAGAACAAAAGATGAAAGGGATGACCATGGCTCCGGCTGACACATGTCGAAGTCAGTGCGGCAAGGAGATTTGTTGCCGACGACGAATTGCTTTCTCCAGCCCGTTCCAGCGTTTCCTCATTTCTTAGGCGCCATGAGCTGAACAAATTCATGATCTGCGAATGGAGGGTCAGCAGCCATCTTTCGAAGGCAAAGGCCATGGCGAAACTTACAGTCGATGGAGCCGTTGCCATCAAGGTCGGCATGCTTGACCATTTCGTCAATCTCGTCATCGGTATGCTTCTGGCCCAGCGAGATGAGCACGGAGCGCAGCTCACTGGAGGAGACAGAACCGCTTCCATCCTTGTCGAAGACTTCAAAAGCTGCGACGAGTTCGTTTTCCGTACTACCGACGGGGCGAGCTGGAGCAGCCATGATCTCGAGGAATTCTGGCGCAGGAGGCACATGTTAGATGAGACATGGTGAGACCAAGATGGGGCAGCTGACCGTCAAAATCGATACGGCCATCACCGTCCGTGTCAATCTCCTTGATCATCTCCTTAACCTCTTCAAGACTTGGCTTAAGACCGAGCGACTTCATCGCAATTTGCAGCTCGCTCGGACTGATGTCGCCTGAAAGCGTCATGTTTTGTTAGTGTACATGAACACTGCTGTGCATGTGACTGGCGCCAGCTAAAGCAGGGACCGTTGCGACGTTGCGAGGCTGGGACATGGTGACTAGTGTGGGACGACATACCTGTGCCATCGCGATCCTAGGTGGGTGGGCTCATGTCAGCTTGGAGGGAAAGCTAACTCAAGAAATCTGCACTACTACATACGAAGATCTTGAAGACCTCTTTGAGGTCGGTGTATTGCTCTTGGGTGAGGTTAGTGACGGCGGTGGAAGGCTATGAACAAGCGGGGTTAGCAACGTGGTGAGCTTCGGCGCTTGGGACAGCTGGGCGCGGGCAAGGAGGGGGCAAGGGGCGCACGCGCGCCCCCCCGAGGCGGCAGTCGGCGCCAGACAACGAACCATGATTCCCTGTGATGACACCGAGCGGCGCTTGGACAAGGATGGGAGACGGCTTCCAAGAGTGCAGGTATTGTCTGGAGTTGGCGGGATCCGACCTGGGAGGGATAATCGTGCAGGATCATTGGGTATGGTATGGTGTGGGTGTGCCTGGTTTGGTTGTTGTTGGAGGACAGCTGAGCGCGCGATTTCTCCGTTGGCTTAGCGTCGAGATGCTGGGGGGAGGTCCCATCCCGCTCGCCCCTCCCGCCCCTCCCTTCCCTCGTGGCCCCTCACTCCAATGCGATGCGCGAGCTTTGCCCGTCGTTGCAGGCTTGTGATAGGCAGGCTGGCGGCGGTGCTCAATCCCAACTCTTCCTTCACCACTCAGCCCAGCCCTATGTGCAACCCGTTGGCCGAAGGATGGCGGCATGGGGGCAGATAAGTCGGATGCGGCGGCGATTCTCAGACCGGAGTGGTGGTGCATGTATCCTCAAAGCTATGTGTTCGTGCCGAGGAAAGGCTGGTAAATGGAGGCATTCTGGACAATTGTGGGATCGCGCTTGCATGCAGGCATACGCGGCCTCACCACCACAAAGGTCCAGACAGTTTCGAGACGGACCTCCTCTTGATAATTCCCGACCCGCCACAGAATCGCAATCTGATGAGAGTGGTAGGCTGCCTCTGATCTCACCAGATGGGGCAAGTAACTTTGCTTGAAAGCACCCCCCCTCGGCCAACCTCCGTTCGGGCTGAGATTTGAACCCAGGGGGAGGGGGAACGCCTCGTCTAGGTTTGGCTTGTCAGGTGTAAATGACCCGAAGTGCGCCTTGCCAGCACAGTCGCCGGCTCCTTCCATCATCCCACGCCCATTCTAAGGTACTTTGCCTTGTTGGTAGCTACCTACCTAAGCTTGCGAAGGTACCTACGGCCAGCCAGGCGGACAACCCCTCCAAGGGTCCTTGCCCCCGAATCCCTGCCCGACGTTCCGTTGCCCTTGCCCACGCCGGTCACAGCTCTTTCCCACGCCAGCTCAGCGCGCGCCAGTTCCAGTTCCAGGTCCAGGGCCCCGCATCCTCGACGGAGGGGTACGACAGCTCTGTTGCGCTGTTGCTTGTCAGACGACCAGAGCCCCCCTGCCTCATCACCATTCCACCCCTCCCAGGCCTCCGACTCTCCCGTCTACGACCCCTCCTATCATCACCAGGACAATCTCCTCGAACAAACCTTGACATCCCCCTTTCCTGCTGCTTTGCCCCTCACTCACGCCGCCTTTGCTTGTGTCTAGGAAGCTTGTTTGACTAGGACTTGGCAGACACTTGTGCATCCCAGCTGGCAAGCTCTCAGCCACCTAGCTCCCCTCCTTCTCGTGTCGAACGCCTCGTCTCCGCCGCTCCACCTCACACTGGACACATCACCTCTGGTATCACAACACGTGAGTTCCGACCACCCATCCAGCACCTGGCCAGATTGGTCCTGGACACGCCTATTCCAACGATCGGCGTCCATCAAAGCAGGCCCCTTTACCTACAGTGCTCATCTCGCGAGACAGCAGTGAAGTCCTTCGGAACTCACATTACGGCGTCCCACCAACAGCACTCGTTCACACACCTACATCATGTCCTACGGGTATCCTGGCCAGGGAGGCTACGGCGCCAACCACGGCGGTTACGGTGGCGGCGGAGGCTATGATGCACCTCCCGGCCCGCCGCCTCCCCGCCGCTACCACCAAGATGAGTACGACGCTCCTCCGGGGCCACCGCCTTCCCGTCCCAGCTATGGCCGGGACGACTATGGTGCTCCGCCAGGACCCCCACCACCTCAGAGTTATGGCGGACGCGATTACCACCGTCCGCCCCCCGGCCCACCTCCTCCTGAAGCGAACTATGCTGCTCCTCCCGGGCCGCCACCCTCGAGCGGGGACTACCGTCCTCCCTCTGGTCCTCCCGGCGGGCGAAACTACGGATATGGCCAGGCGCCCCCTGACGCCTACCCAGACCGCGCCTACACTCGCCAGTACAGCCCGCCCAACTACCCTCCTCCCTCGGGTCTCGATGTCTACGGCTATCCTGTGAACAGGCCCGACAGCAACAGGCCTCGTAGGTCGAGTTCTCCCAGCAACCCATCATGTCCCTACTGACTTTGTCCAGACATGCCTACCGTCAACTCCAACTCATACCTACATGGCAACCGGTCAGCCCCGCCACCTCCGCCGTCTGGTATCCAGCAGTTCGGCCACGGTGCACCAGAGGGCTATGGCTTCCAGTACTCTACCTGCACGGGTAAAAGGAAGGCTCTGCTCATCGGCATCAACTACTTCAACCAGGACGGTGAGCTGCGAGGCTGCATCAATGATGTGAAGAACATCTCGGCATTCCTCACTGAGCGCTACGGTTACAAGAAGGAGGATATGGTGATCCTCACAGATGACCAGACTAATCCTGTTGGCCAGCCTACCAAGGACAACATACTGCGGGCTATGCACTGGCTCGTCCAGGGCGCGCAGCCCAACGATTCCCTGTTCTTCCACTACTCAGGTAGGGCTTCGCCACGGAGATTACAAACCCGCCGACACTGGCTAACGCGGCATAGGTCATGGCGGCTACACCGAAGATTTGGACGGTGATGAGGATGATGGCGTTGACGAGGTTATCTACCCTGTCGACCATAAGGAGGCCGGCCACATTGTTGACGACGAGATGCATCGGATCATGGTGAAGCCGCTCTTGCCCGGTGTGCGTCTGACCGCCATCTTCGACTCATGCCACTCCGGTACTGCTCTCGACCTGCCCTATGTGTACTCTACCAAGGGAGTCCTGAAGGAGCCTAATCTGGCCAAGGAAGCAGGACAGGGCCTGCTGAGCGCTGTGACGGCGTATGCTAGCGGCAACATGAGTGGAGTGTTCAGCTCGTTGATGGACTTTGGTAAGAAGGCCATGAATGGTGACGATGCGTACGAGCAAACAAAGCAGACTCGCACATCGCCTGCCGATGTCATCATGTGGTCCGGCAGCAAGGATGATCAGACTTCGTGAGTGTACTTCCTTTTCCAAGGAGACTCTTCTCAGGGCCGGCTTTGTACTGACAACCAGCACAGCGCCGACGCCACGATCGCCAACAAGGCCACTGGCGCCATGTCACACGCCTTCATTTCCGCCCTCAAAGCCAACCCGCAGCAAAGCTACGTTGAGCTGCTCAACAGCATCAGAGAGATCCTAGAGGGCTCGTACAGTCAGCTGCCGCAGCTTTCGAGCAGTCACCCTATGGGTACGTTATTTCGAAGTGTCATTTGCCGTTTCCTTCATACTAACCCTATGCGCCAGACACGAACCTTTTGTTCGTTATGTAAGCGCCCTTTATGTAGCCTGCCAGGGGGGTGGGCGACAGTCGGTGATCAATTGCTCTGGGGCTGGCCGTATGTGGGTGGATGACGATGGGTGGGTAGAAAAGATTCGTGAAGAATTCCAAGACAAGTTCATTGCCGTTGCTTGTGCGTAATCATGTATGCAACTTGAACGGAGGGGTAAATGTGACACCCAAATCTTATGTCACGTACCCTGGGCCGTTGGATTGAAACCAACAGAGCGGTACATCAAAACGACAAGTTCATGTGAAACCTATATATATGGGGCTCTCAAGTTCACGTGCGAGACTGCATGATCTGGCCCAGGTGCAGAGTCTAGACATCACGGGTATCGGGAGGAAGCGCTCTTGTGAGCATGTCTTGTGAGGAGAATTGCAGACATTATGATTAAGAATTTCGTCTTATGATAGAACAATCCCACGAATTGCAGCGTCGTCTAGGCCCGACGCGTCGTGTTCTCCCAATAGTTCAAAGGCTGCCCCAGCACAGTGCACTTGTCGGCCTCTCCAAAGGGAGCCATGTGGCTGTCTGCCTCGAGGATCATCCACTCGGGCGCGTCCGGATCGACCTCGCTCCACTCGCCGCTCTTCTTCACCCCGGCCAGCGTCGAGTCATACCCCCTAGCAGCAAGGAACGACTCGGCCGGGTTCGGGTCCCCGCTCCTGACGAAGGACGCCCAGTAGTCCAGCACAAGGCGGCTGAAGTCCTGGTCGCGGCCATCGCGGTCGCCGAGGCCCACGCGCCTGTAGTTGCCAAACATGGTCAGCTGCGAGCCGCCGTGGCAGCGGAAGTACTCCTGGCTCGGGTCGCCGAGCGGGTGCCCCGGTGTGACGGCGGCGCTGCACTCGTTTGTTGTGTACGTCGTCGGGCTGTAGGTGCGGTAAAAGTTAAAGGCGTACGTCTTGGCGAAGGCGCCGTTCTTGGTGCCCGCGTAGGCCGTGGCGCGGTCGAGGCACGTGAACCAGTTGAGTGTCAGGATCTCGGTCGTGGCGTTGAACAGTTGCTCGCCCGTCGAGGAGGGGTCCACGCCCCACAGCGGCAGGTTGGCGAGGATGGCGTCTGGATCGATGCCAAGGACGCTGCGGGCGGCGTACAGAAGGCCCGTCCAGGTTGGGAAGTCGAGCGTCGACCAGTCAATTTGTAGCAGCGGAATGAAGATGGCAGCCTCGTCGCGCGTGACACCGGTTAGGACGGGAACATCCCTCGCGTAGCGGGGGCCGGATCCGTCGAGGGCGAGGAACGGCGCGCGGAGGATCTTGCCGTCAATGACGGGGGCGTTCGCCGTCACAGGAAGGTTCGCCAGCTGCTGGGCCGGCACGTTGCGGAGGCAGGCCACCTCGTCCTTTGTGCCGTTGCAGCTGACGGCTTCCAAGATAGGCTGTGTGAAGGTTTTGTATGATTCGTCCACGGTGGCAAACTTTGCAGTAACCTGGAAAATGCCACCTTGGCCATCTGACTGCAAGAGAGCGCCGGCATATAGGCCGCGGGCTTCGGGGGACGTGAGAAGGTTGCGGACGGACATGGCGCCCGCCGACTCGCCCGAGATGGTCACCCGATCGGGATCGCCACCGAAGGCGGCGATGTTCTCAGCGACCCATTTCAGAGCACTGATCTGGTCGCCCAGGGCAACGTTTCCCTTGTGAATGCCGTCGTTGAACGCAATCATGCCAGTGTTGCCGAGTCTGTAGTTGATCGACACGGCAACGATATCGCCTCGCGATGCAATGTTGGTGAGATCGAGATTTCCATTCTTGCCCGAGCCTTCGACGTAACCTCCTCCATGGATGTAGACCAACACGGGCTTCAACGCCGGCTTGGCCTGGGTTCTCCCGCCAGTCGACGCAGGCAGAGATGGAGTCCAGATATTCAGGAAAAGGCAGTCGTCGCTCGACCCGGGGGCATTATGCTGGAGGCAGTCGGCTCCTGCTGTCAGGGCCGAGACGGAACCCTTCGGGCGAAGCGTGGTCGAGTAATCGAACCTCTGCGGCATCGGCGCGTATCTCACACCGCGAAACTTCCATGTGTAGAAGTCTCGATATCCGGTAAACTGCGCTTCCCCGACCTTTTGGGTGACTTGGAAGCTCGATGATGTATCGTCAGCCGTGGCGCTCGATACCGGCGCGCTCTGGCTACAAAGCACAGGCAGACGATCAGAGCACTTTTGACGGTGCAGTGAGCCGTCGGTGTCAATTGCACGACATTTGCAGCCGTCTCCGCTTGCGATCCAGAACTTGGCGTTCGAAGGGTAGTTCTTCTGATAGACTTCATATGCCAGGGATGTCTTGAGGCTGGCGAAGGACAACTCTTCGCCCTCGCCAGACCAGAGAGCCTCGCTGAGTTGACCGCATGCCTTCAAAGCAGATGCTTGGTCCTGAACACGGTCGATCAGGACGGCACCCGACCCTGGCGAGGGCTCATCTGTGACATGTCAGGCCTGCATCGTCGATTTCAATCTCTAGGACCGCGTTGCATAGACTTACTCTCCAGGTCGTTGTGTGCGAGAATGGTGAGTCTACCTCGCGCGGATCCTGCCTTCGACGGCGGCTCCGCGGCCACAGCATGTCTCAAGGCGAGACCGAACACAAATGCGTTGAGCTTGACCATCTTCGTGTCGAGCTTCCCAAGAGTCAATAAGGCAAAAGGAATGCGATGCAGGAAAACATGCTGCTGCTTCTCCAGACAGAGCTCGGGCATGTGGCATGCGGCAAGCTACATATATACGGCGCGCATGTCAATTTTCGGACCCAGGCAGCTGACAATCAGCCTACGAGCGCCGAACTTAGCTTGAGGCCTTTGGATCCCGTTACCGTAGCGCTGGCGAGCATCGTGAGGCACAGCGCCACATGGCGGAGGCACAGCGGTTGCCGAATCCCGCACTTCTGGCTCGGTCGGGTGAAGCGTAGGAACTGGAGTGCAGGGCTTCCCCCAGCTCGAACAAAAGTTCCAGTGGGCCTGTTCCTGAGCACGAAGGCCTGTCTTCGTAGCATAGCACTACTGGCTGGATTTCGTCAGGCTCGTGGCCTGCCCTTTCAGTCGGCACCGGAGTCTGGGCCGTTTGCCATTCAGCCTATTGTGCTCAGTCAGTCAGGTGCCATGAAAGCGATTTAGCGGAAGACGAGTTGCCAAGGCAGCTTTCGCATTCGGCGTTTCTCGCATTCGGGATGCCCCTCGCTTTGTCTTCTAACTCAATCCATGAACGTGCTTACTTCTTTTCGTCATTCGCGACTGATTCATCGGTCATCGATGCCGTTCGCCCGCATCAAGCCTGCGAGTGTGAAGAGGTCCGACGGCAACCAGTCAAATGTCTTCAAGAAGGGGCACAGACGGTAACGAAGCCGTAAGATGGCATCTTATGGATCATTCGACAGGCGGAAGGTGACCTGCAGAGGCTTCTGATAACGCCGCTCAGGATTGATCATCAATTCGGTTAGGTAGTGCCTCCGTTCATCTGGGCAACTTGCAAGGTGCTGGCATGTTGCAAGTTCGCCTTCGCGCTGCTCCCTCTTAAACTCTTTGGCTTGAATAGTTGTGTCCCCGAGATGCGGAATCTCAGTATCTACAGCGTCTGCGGATCTGACAGCTCGTGAGCGGCGTCGTATTCTCAACGTACGATCTCATTCAAGAAGTTGAAGATGCTGTCGCATATTTCTTGATGTCGCAGTAAAAGCAAGAAGCACTTCGAAGGCACCCGAAGGATGTCACGAGCTTCCAAGACCTGGGTGTTTTTAATGTAGTCCAAGAACCACACGGTCTCACAAAAGTGCGATGTGCTGAGGATGTTTCTCATTGCTCACCTGTCCTTTGGGACGCCTCCTGAGCTGAGGACCCTACTCTATATCTCGATATTCCAGTCTCCAACGACCAGGAAGAGACACCGAACCCTCACAACTCGAGCGCGTGGAATGCTGCTTGTATTGTGACTCCGCTCGAGGTGTTGGCGTTGCCTTGCTAGAGCTTGGAGATCTGGCAAGACGGGCCGGATGCTCGGTATTCTGCCAACAGCCTTTGACAAGGCAGGCCACCATCTCCAAGTACAGGCGGTGGCCACATAACTGAAGCGTTCGATGGAGCACGAACATGAACAGGTTCGTACGGCCGATGGAACCCTCAGGGCCGACCTGTCGAGCTTCAGTCCAGTCCATGGCGTAGCCAGGCATGTAGAGAACTGAACTCGTGTTCCATGTCCCGTTGCCCGACTTAGATCCTGCCATTCAACCTTGCAGCAGTGAAGAAAGCCGCTCACTGTGTTGGCAGCCGTCGGACTGGATCGTCTCATCCAATTCCAAGGAGCCTGCAAGTGCATCCAGAGCACGACTTCCTCGAATGACATTGCATAAATCTGAAGGACCCCAAGGAGATCCTGTCCCAGGTGGTGGCGAGCCGTGGCTTGGGCTCCGTCCTTGCCAGGGCATGTGGACACTTTTGTGAACCAGCGGCCACCGCGATCGTGTGGTCAAGTGACAGTGAGCGCGAGGCGGATACCATTCCTGAAGGGCAAGATGTCCGAGATGAACGGCGGGAGTATTCATGAGAGCGGTGATAAGCACGGCTATTCCAATATGGTGTCACAAAGTGATCAGGTACTGATTGAACCAGCATCGTCGACGCTGCCATGCCTCAGCACAGAAGGACATGTGAGTCCAGATGGACACACAGCTTTATCGATAAGGCGATCAGGGTGGGGTTCCTAACGAACGACAGCAAGGTACGTACCTGGTACTCCTCCCCTCCTCCCCTCGTACGAAAGCGGGGTGGCAAGCTGGAAAAGGGTCCAGGCGGTGTGGGCGCGGCCTTTGGCAGTATTTTTTTTCTGCCTAACGAAACGAGACAGAAGCGGAAAACAGCCTGGGCTTTTGACCGACTCGCGCGATCCTGCTTTTCCTTCTCTATCTGCACCTGCAAATCGCTTCCGTTGCGACTCTCTGTTCCTCCCTTCTTTCAACCCGCCCGCCCTTCTCGAGTCCGTTCAAATTTTGTCCCCCTCTTGTCGCACACGCACACAACACACATATCATCATGGCTGCCGAGAGAATGGAGGTCGATCCCGAGACCAAGCTCAAGAGCATGGAGCACTCTGAGCAGCACTACTTCAAGAGGTATGTTTTTCTCGACCGCATCGCCGCCAGAGAAACTCTGCTGACACCTTTCCCAGTTACGACCACCATGGTATGTCAATCGAGGCTTCACGACCACACTGTTGCAGATGGACTAATATGGCTACGTCCTAAAAGGCATTCACGAGGAGATGCTGGTATGCACCCATGCGACTTACCCCTCCTTTTCGCCATGTCACTGACGATGACCCTCCGTACAGAAAGACGAGGTTCGCACCCGCTCTTACATGAACGCTATTGTTCAGAACAAGCACCTTTTCAAGGACAAGGTCGTCCTTGATGTTGGCTGCGGCACTGCCATTCTGTCCATGTAAGTTTGTGCCTACTCGATCGACCCCGCGCTCCCTGATCACACCCCATCAAAACCATCACCACGCAACATTTTTGCGACAAAGCTCTGACGAGAAATCTCACCACCAGGTTCGCCGCCAAGGCCGGCGCCAAGCACGTCATTGGTGTTGACATGTCGACCATCATCCACAAGGCCCGCGAGATCGTTGAGGTCAACGGCCTCTCTGACAAGATTACCCTCATCCAGGGCAAGATGGAGGAGGTCCAGCTCCCCTTCCCCAAGGTCGACATAATCATCTCCGAGTGGATGGGTTACTTCCTGCTGTACGAGAGCATGCTCGACACGGTCCTCTACGCTCGTGACACCTACCTGAACAAGGACGGCCTCATCTTCCCCGACAAGGCCACCATTTTCGCCGCCGGCATCGAGGACGGCGAGTACAAGGACGAGAAGATTGGCTGTGAGTAGTAGCGCTCCGCTTACAAGTTCGTCCTGTGCGAGCACCGCTAATTCTGGAATTCTCTCCGCAGTCTGGGACAACGTGTACGGCTTCAACTACTCCCCCCTCAAGGCCACGGCGCTGTCCGAGCCCCTGGTCGACACGGTCGAGGTCAAGGCCGTCGTGACGGAACCCGTGCCCATCCTGACACTGGATCTCTACAAGTGCCAGGTCTCCGACCTCGCCTTCAACACGACCTTCAAGCTGCCCGTGCGCCGCGACGACTTTGTGCACGCCGTCGTCGCCTGGTTCGACATTGACTTCACCGCCGCCCACAAGCCCATCCGCTTCTCCACGGGACCCCACACAAAGTACACCCACTGGAAGCAGACTGTCTTCTACCTCAAGGAAATGCTCACCGTCCAGCACGGCGAGGAGATTGACATGACCATTGACGTCAAGCCCAACGAGAAGAACCGCCGCGACCTCGACATCACCATCGACTACAAGCTCCAGACCTCGGACGCCACCCGCACCGCCCAGGGCGCCGCCGCCTACAAGATGTGCTAGAGCGCTGCCGCCCCCGGTTCAGCCGAACGACCGGCGCTGCTCTCTCGCTTTCTGCTCCCTGTCCCCTTCAGGTTTCATCGTCTGTAACTCTTTTTCCTCGTCTGCGTTTGCCTTTCAAAAAGCGTTGCGCACTGTACCGAGGGGGACCGGGAAGAGAACGACAGAGCAGCATTGCACGCCGCGTGCAGGAGGTTGTGCTCCCTCCCAGATCGAGTCAGGTTCAAATTCTTGTTTTTTTTTCATTTTCTTCCCGAACGAGTGCCACGCGGACGGAGGCTTACTTGCCTCCTCCCCCCTCACCCCCTCCGGACGAAACTGGCGCGGAAGGGAAAAGATGGGAGAACAAGACATTCTCTGCTGATTTTGCTCGGGTGTTGTGCCAGGCTGCGTAACCTGCGCCGGCTATGGAGGCATTGCATTCTCCCCAACGGAAAGGACATCGAGCGGGAAGACAGGGAGCGGATGGGAAGCGCAGCGGATGAGTGTGAGAATGTGATAGGTTATAGAGAAAAGAAAATTCTCAGGGTGTAGTCCCTGGGAAGAGGACGACGGACAGCACGGCTATGGGAGGCCAAACGTGCCACGGTCACGATTAATGATAGTCACATGTGCAGAGCATGCCGACGATAGATTTCTACAATAAATGCCGTTAAATAAAAGGCCGGTTCGTTTCGTGCCATTGAGTCATGTCAAAGGGGGCATCTGACTTGTTGGAGAGTGTGTATGTATTGTGCGTGGCCACACTATGTACAAGTCGTTCCTTCGCAAATGTTTGATCTATATCCGAAGAGCTTTATATCTCCAAATGGCTCACCATCCCGAAACGACACGCGTGTGCACCCGCAAACCTTTCGCCGGCGCGCCGTGACACCACCCTTGATCTCCAATTTCTTCTCGTCGTACTCGTCCCGGTTTGCGAGTCCAAACTCAAACGCCGATCCAGCCAGCTAGTATGCAGGCGACTCGCCTTAGCAAAGCCCTGCCCGATGCAGCTCCGCGGCCCGTGCAGGAACGTCATGTAAGCAAAGTTACTGCTGGCGCCACCGCTACCGGAGCCGGCGCCCAGCCACCTCTCGGGTCGGAAAGAGGAAGCGTCGGGGCCCCAGAGTGAGGCGTCTTTGTTGACGGACCACGGGCAGAGCATGATGCGTGTGCCCCGCGGGACGTGCACGCCGTCGACAGTGGTATCGCGGACGGCCTCACGCAGGGTCATGGGAACGGGTGCGTAGTAGCGTAGGACCTCGGCACAAACGGCGGAAAGATAGGGGAGGTGGTCAATATCGGGGGCCGAGACGGAAGTTCCAGTGTCGTTGGGGGAGGGTAGATTGCGGCGGACCTCGTCGCGGAGGCGAGACTGGACGTCAGGGTGCAGGCACAGCAGGTAGATGGCCCAGGTCATGGCCGACGCGGTCGTCTCGTGGCCGGCGGCGAGGAAGGTCATCATCTGGTCGACAAGGTTGTCGTCAGTGAAGGCGCCGCTCTCGAGAGCCACAGACAGTATGTCGGTGCTGCGAGTCTTGTTGGCTTTCTTCTCTTCGATGAGTTGACGGCAGGTGGCGCGAATGACGGCCGAGGCCTCAGCAATATCGCCGTTGCGTTTGAGAGGCAGAGCATTCACGATCGGTCCCGGCAGGAGGAGGCCCAGGACGGCGAGGATCTGGGCCTGTTTGTTGGGTTTGAACACGTACTCATACGTCTTAGTGAGAGGATTGTTAGGGTCTCGCACGGCACCAAAGTCGCGACCCAGGCCGGCGACGCCAATAATGTCGAGTGTGACGCGGGAGGCCCAGCCGCTGATCTCGACGACAGTGGAGCCTGTAGAATCCGGAGCGGCGGCAGTCTGGGAGACGTGCTCGGAGAGGGCGGCCACTTCCCTCACGG